TAGTAGTAGTAGTAGTAGTAGTATTACAGAACAATTTTAGCACTGTATCCTCCTGAGAACCGAGGAAAAAAGAATCTTCCCATTAAACGTTTTTTTCTTTGGAGCTAAAAGAGGTAACCCAAATACAGGAGATATCAATGCAAAGCCCAGGAGGTCCTCTATGTAGTACATCAGGACTTAATAGGGCACCTGAAATAAGTCAAAAGATATAGACTAAAAACAAATGTCAATTACAGAGAACATGCATTAAACAGTACTTTTGCACCAACAAGGGGATTCCCAAAGAGCTACTGGGAAACTGCCATAACACAGCACGTTGTTTAATGTGTCCTTAAAAAGAATTGAGGAAACAAGCGGAGGACAAAAGAAGAAGCGGCAGGTCTAAATATATACACATCTATAGCAGATGAGCAGCATCTGAAAATCATATCTTACGAACCAGTGGTCTTTGATTTTTTTTCCTATCAATCATAGATTGGTCTCCCCAGAGCCCTCACCTCAGTGTGGGATCATCTCAACAGTGAAGAGAGCAAAATTCAGCCAACATCCACAGACGAGCTTGGAATGTCCTTCAAGATGCTTGGAGAACTATTCATGAAGATGACTGAGGTAACATGAAATGTTACCTAAGAGAGTTCAGGCTGTTATAAAGAATTAAAGTTGATCTTATTAACTGTAAAATTGTAAAAACTCTGTTTTTGCCTTGGATACTGGATTTCCATATATCTTTGCACATGTTTCAGTGAAATCTCTGCACCCATTTCCCATTTTCTTAGGAAGATATAAAGAAATGTGGGGTGGCTCAAGAATGTAGCACATCACTGTATGCAAGCAAACTACACTGAGTAAAAACAGCTGCTAACTGTCAATTTGAGTATAGTTGAACCATGACATCACAAATTCTGAATGTGTTCATTTGTTAAAGTTTATGCCAGAATACGATTTCATGCTGGTCAGTGCAGACATTTGGACCAGCCTCTAGAACATACCACAGTAATACTGACCACCGAATCTTCCCTCCTTACTGCATGTCATTTTGAGCCCTGCCCGTCATTAACTTTACATCAATGCAGACTTAAAAAGCGCAATAAAAAGTTAGACTTGAATAGTACTGACAGGACTATTAAAGACACAGCAAGTCTTTAATGGCACTTGTTTGTCTTTGCACATGCTGATGAAAACTGTGTAGGCACAAGAATGAACTTTACACTACACCGAAGCAGGAAGTGCTGTCACAGCCTCTGAGGTGCTCGTGACTCCCTACCAAAAGTGAAAGCCTTGGATTTCATATTTTTGAATGGAAAAAACTATTAGTTTAATCTTTTACTAGGGAGGTGGGATTATGCTGAGCCTTAGCTGAACCGTGGTTCACTGAAGTAAAGATACGCATAAAAGTTACACATTAATGTTTTGTTTAAGGTTAGTAGCCATGGTTCACCCAGTGTTATGTGATAGGAGCTGCCCTGATTAGGATGATAAGATTAACATTTGAATGTTGGACATTTGCTGTTATTGAAATTCATATCTTCTTGCTTTTGAAGAATAAACATTAGATAAACCTTGGCATTAAATGTATACACTAGCATGCATTTTCCGACCTTCTTTGTCGTACACGTCATGCATTAATGTTTGCTTTTTCCTCATTATTTCTCTTGTAAATATGGTCTTGGCCTGTAATGCTGATCGTGACTCCAAGTTTGACCTTTAGAGAAACAGAAATATTTTACCACCACACCTAAAAGTCATATTCCGTTCAATCCCACTCTGATTTTTACGCCTTTCTACAATAAAATTTTTTAATGTGAAATAAAGGCTTTTGTTTTTAGATTAAAGGACAACGTTTGTAGCATATCACAGCCTCAAATCCCATCAGATGAACAGCAGCAGATATCAATGTGGATGAAACACAGTGCACACCCTCTCTCTCACTGTAAACGCCTCACAATGTACGCTAATGGGAACAAATGTGCTGACAACATGAGAGGACACTATGCACTGTGATCAGTCAAATTCCCCCGCCTAGCCTCTCAGCATGCCTTATCAGAAACACACACACACACACAAAGCAGAGTGTAAGCCTTTCACATGAATCCAATGAAACTGAGACTTTCACACCTGGAGGCTTCTCACCTCTCAATCCTTGTGATTCTATCAAGCCCACATGAACCAGATTTGACTGTTTTCCCCTTTATTTCAATAATTAGGGATATCACATATAACTGTCAACTGCATCCTCCTCACACACATTTTATCAGTCTCACACACTCACGCCCCTTCCAACCTCCACTTACTTTTCAAAGCCTGGATCAGAGCCTTGCTGTCTTTAATCAGCTCTTTGATGAACTTGTTGGTTTTGTCCAGCTCTAGTTCGTGGGACTTGAGTCTCTCCCTGAACTGTGGACTGTCCAGGTAGCAGTCGCTGAATTCCAGGGCAGGTAATCCCATCTTCTGCACCACCACCCGGCAAAAGAATAAACGATTGGGACAGCAGGAGGAAAGAGGAACGAGATGATGATGATGGAGGGAGAAAACCTGTTGTTCTGGTGCTGCTTTTGCTGTTGTAAATGATAGAAAATCCAATTACAACATGAAAACAACAGGGCGGAGATGGATCCGAGAGAAATCCCTACCTACATAACCTCGTTTTTCTTTGCAAAGGAAAACACTCAGGCAGACACACAAGGCAGTAGCAGTAACACAACAAGACATCCAATTAAAATTAAATTTCAAAAGGGGGGGAAAAGACAGAGCTGAATAAGTGTCTGGAAATGGCTTTCAAAGAAAAGGTGTCCACTTGCTCAGGTAAGCCGGTGCTGCATTCCTCTCGAACGACTCATTCTGGACCGGACAGACTGAAACAGGGCCGAGGAGGAGGGAGGCAGCAAAAAAACAAAACTCCGCTCGTAAATGCGGTGTCTTCCCTGGGCGGTTTTAAATGCACTGTTTTCTCCCAGCACCGCTCAGCTCAGCGCCGCAGACCGTAATCAACCTACCCCGACAAGGATAATCTACTGATTGACGTCTGTCTAGACCAATGAGATGGCAAGGCACGACGTGAAGGGCAGTTTCGACCGTTTAGGGGCGGATCAAGCGGTGAGCTTCTCCAGAGCAAAGATGGGTGGGATAAAAGAAGGAGGGTCCACTCTGACGAAGTTTCCTGAAACTGCATTGGAAAAGTGAACTCTCAGACTTAGATAGAAAGAGCAGCACCCAGCATATAAACAGTGAACATATTCGCACATTACTACTTCATTCATAATTAATTAGTAATTATTTCTTAGCAGGTAGGCTTAATTTTAGAAAGTCAACATTCTACCTTTGATACTTCAACCAATGTCAGCATGTTACACTCTAAACAGAAAAACAAAGAAAGTAAATCACTGGAAGAAAAGTTAATAGCTCACCAAAGCCAACACACATCTGATCTCCTAAGACCTGTAAATGTATGTACTGTATTTTATCCCGGTCCACTGGACCACTTCTGAACATCACCAACCACTACCCCAGCTTTGCCATCCTACATACCTGTGCCACTAGTTTACAAATCTCAGGTGTGGTTAATTAGTGCAATGAAAAATTATATGCCAATAGTTTATGTCATTAAAGTATGAAGTTAAGCGACAAAGTGGTTGTCTGCTTTTGGTTTGTTTCTATGCAGTTATATTCGTTGTGTTTCATTACCACTAGATTCATCATATTAATGAAAAGCTAATGCAAGTCATCTATTTGAGTAATCCCATTAAAAGGCTGTTTTTCTGGAGATGATGTCACTCACAGTGCTTCACAAGCTAGGTCAATCAGCATACTATATCATGCACTTCTGTCCCACTACAGTGTACATGGAGGAAAATAAAGGGAGTATCAGGTACACAACAGTTACCTTTAAACCGAAATGATGAGCTGATTACTTTCTTTATTAATTTCTTGGTTTTTCCAAAAGCTCAAACGAAATATTTGGTTACTATTGTATAAAATAAGGATTTCTGAAAGATTGGAAGGCATATCTTTACATTTGAAGAAGCAAACGGTTTACATTTTGAGTCGAAATTGCTTAATTGTCTAAATTTTCAAAGTTTCCATTGAATGGTGTGAACTTTAACCCGTGGGGTAAAAACAATGTCAATTGGAGCTTCCCAGAAAGTAGGCTCGCTCTGGGATGAAAGACTAATAACTGGGTCACATGTATGAAATACCTTTCATTCATTTTATTTCAATGACTGGAACATGTTTCGGCTTAAAAGCGTCCCACAGGTCAAAACCTGTCAAAGGTCGAGTGAACCATCTTTTTGTGAATAAAAGATCTGTGTATGCAGCGGCTCCGGAGTCTGGTTGGTGGGAGGAGACGGTGATGTCATTTCAACCAGAGCGGGGAATTTCTGTAGAGAGAAGTACCCACAAGGGCTCCATCACCTCTGGCGCCCTCTACTGGTAAGAGGCTGCATAAACAGAGAGGGGGCATTACGTGTAAGAGGTGGGAACTCGGAGACCCTTGCGACTCACCCTGTCGTATATGTATTTCTGGGAGGAGTATGCAAACTGAGTTACTGCCGATTGCGACACGCCAATTTACTGTTAATTTCGCAGTAAAAGAGAATACCTTATTTTTTGCACTGGATACTGGGAAAAACTGGCTGCGACTTTTGTATTTATCGCGTAAAACCAACCACACCTGAGCGCACTAGTTTGCCTTTTCTGAAAATCTGGTCCATAGTTGTTTGCATCACATTAAAACAGCTGTGATATTTTAAAATATAATGTAAAAAATACGCCATATCATCAAAAATATATAAACATGTAACAGGCTGTAATAAATATGGTTCCAGATGGCTCTAAACTGGTAGTTTTAGATATGTTTTTTACACTCTATGGCTCTCTTTGATAAGAGGGAACATCCTTAATATAGTGATCTGATCTAGCTGTGAGCACTACAGGTGGGCTGATAGATCGATAGTATCGATGTTTGATGGAAAGGCGTGATTTGTTGCATTAGCTAATAACTGTGGCAAGTAAAAATGAAAGCGATTTATCTTTGTGTTCAAAATTGTTCAAATTAATAGTGATTTATCTTACTATGACTCACTGTTCTCCCCTACATAGGCTATTGGCTTTGGCAATACTTGCTCTGTATTTATTTGATGTCAGCTTGATACTGATCTACTGGGAGATCCAGTAAAGCTTGATACAACTGTTATTTGAAGAGGCCTAATGCATTTCCGCCACTGATTCCTGTCCTGAGATCTCACTTCATGTCACTGATACATGCACACTAAGTGCATGTGGCTATTGTGTGAAAACAGCTCATATTTAGAAGTGTCACTTCCTCTGTCAGAGTAGAGCACTGCATCTAGTCGCTTGCTCATTACCCCATCTGTCACAGTCTGGTGTACGCAGACGTGCAATGTACAGGAAGTCACCTGTTGTTTATGTATAAATTTTAAAAATCCAGGAGGCTAGTTTAAGAACCAGAATTAACCACCACACAACGAGGTGATGCAGGAAACAGATTTTTCTTTAGGATCAGCATTTGGTCTTAATAATTCTCTGATAACGCCAAGAAAAAATAGACCAGAAAAAACTGAAAGGGAAGAAATTGTATCTGAAATGGAGAACATAGCACTTAATAAGACAACTGAAACAAATGCATTTTGATGACAAGCCCAAGACTGTCAGGAACTCAAGAATTTAGGTGGAATTATCTAAAGAAAAAGAAAGCACCGTTACAAAGCATCAGACACATTATTGGGGATTTAATTTTTGGCAGAATACTTGTAGATTAATGGCACTTAATCAGCAGCATGTCAAAGATAAAAGCATAGTGTCTGAGTGTCTGAGTGTCAGTTAGCCTTTTAAAGCCCCATAAAATGAATTCATGCAATATGAACTGAGATGAACCCAAGGAGAATTATCAGACTTTGGCTTTTTAATCTGTAACTTGTAGTTTGTTGGTTCACTCACACCAATTTTTTGGTGTCAAAGCTCTGACAAAAAACACTATCTGCACACAATCTCACTGGCAGGCAAGGCTGGTGTACAAACTACAAAATTAAGAAGCTAATTAGCCACATATTTGTTTCAGGAATGGAAATATTGAAGTTGATATTCACCAGCTGATCACACTCAAACACACAAACACCCAATAAATGCTAGCGTGTAAATGTGCATTTGATACTACTTTCACTGTTCTGATACTGTGCCAATAAAAAACTGAGAATGCAGGTTTAATGAGAATGCAGTATAATGGTGCATGCTCTAAATATGCCTGTGTCAGCTCTGTGGACATGAACAACAGACTTGATTTTTGCAGACTGAAGCACCTCTAAGGTTAACCCATTCTGCCATCTTGTGGTTAATAGAAGCAAAGAAAAAGAAGCAGTTCAATGCTGATGGAACAGGTGAGAGAAAAGTAGGTCAGATTCCTCAGTTTTTGGTTATCACTCTTTTTTTTCTGCACATTCTTGACACGGTCTTGTGTTTCGTGATCACTTGACTTCAAAGGGATGGTTTTAACCTTTAGATGCACTGCAGAGGATGAATTGCGGAGAGAAAAATCCATTAGAAGAAGACGGGGACAAAGTAGTCAGTGTGAATATATCAACTAGCCTGCACACCGCCACTGTTTATTCTCACATAGCTGCAGGACAGACAGTGAACGGCTGCAAAAATAGATATTGAGATTGCCATGTCTTGGAAGCCATTTCCACCATTTTTAGAAATGTCAGCGCATCACAGTGCATATCCAAAAATGTCTATTTTTATAGGCTTTGGAAAATGCTTTTAATATGTCCTGCAGCATTTTGAATCATAAATTCCTATCACTCCCCCCAAATTCCCAACATTAACCTTGTGTAAGAGCTAATGTGAGGCTGTCGATCATTACTGTGTTATCTTCTGGACTTACATTCCTTTTTTTAATGTTTTTTCCTCTCAGAGCTGCTTCAGTGTTTCTGCCAGTCAAAAATCCGCCTCATATCTTTTGGTTAACCTTTTAGGAAAGTATGTCTGTTCATTTTCAAGATTACAGAGCCATTTCCTTCTTTCTGTTTTTTTTTTTTTTAATGAATCTTTGTTTTGGAAATGAAGTATTTTGTTGAAAATACAACTTTGTTTTTCCTTAATGCCTCATTTAAGTACAGTATTCCTCCATTTACACCCCACATACTTTTACTGTATACATGTAATGCACTCGTACTTTTGACACCTGGGCATTATAATGTTTTGCAGGAATTTAATGGAATCCTATTATCCTTTAATATGGGAAGCAGAACTTGGAATCCAAAGGCACTGGGATTATGTTAAATCTGGGAGCTGAAGTCATTCCCTTTGTGTCTCTTATAAATGTTTATATTGTGTTGCCTGCCAGTGTCTCCAGGAGGACACCACTACAAGAATGTATCAGTGCTCAGTCAGACAGGCGGCCTGGCTCATTTCTAGGGTCTGGCTTGTCCTCCTTCTCCCTCTCCAGTCGTGGATGGTAATTTTAGTCCTGACGTTAGCCTGTTAAAATGCGTCCTCTGACGTTGTTAGAAGAGGGGGTGAGGTGAGGGAGGAGTGGATGGAGTTCAAATTCATACTTAAGAAGCCCGTATAAAGGCCAGACACTTCACTGACAGAGAAAGGAGGAAGACAGTTTGGCACAAGAGGCCCCAAAAACTTTGTTTCAGTTAAGCCTCAGTTAGGAGGAAAAAAAGAGGACATGCTGGCTCAACGGGGGCACTGTCACATGACATTGTCACAGGTAGGTGAAGATGGCTTATTGTTTGTGTGGTAATCAAGTTGGCTAGTAATTAGTGCTGCAGAGTTAAATAAGGATCTTCATAACACAAAATGAAGTTAATGTTTGTCTTTCTTTGTGTTTTCTTTTTGACTGTCTGGTCTGTGAGTGTACATATCTGTAACATAACTCTTCCCCTGCTTTAGAACAGCTTCTGGGTTTTTCCAAGGGTAGATGTATAGGTTAGTGGTCACTGTCACTAACCTAGTTGTTTTGTTCTATAGGCAGGCCTGAAATATGAAAGAAACTGCTCAGTCAGAAAAGAGTGTTACTTAAGGGGTAAAGAGTTAAAGACAAGATAACAACCAGTAGAGTGCAGGTGAGAATAATGAAATATTGTGGTAGATGAGTGGTTACAGTATGTGGTACAGTCCGTTTTACCACACAGTACAATCTGTTAGTCAAAGGCCAAAACAACTTACAGTGAAGCCAATTCAAATGAAATAAGAGAAAACGTCTTGTGAAGCACATGTAGAACTATTGCAAAGTGATTCAAAGTAAAAGAGGTGCTAGAAACGTGCAAACTAAAGGTTGTTTACTCGGACCACTGCAGGGTCAACGGAAAGCCTCTTATTTTTGTGGCTTTCATTTCAACCCCCCGACCCCCCACTTTTTTTTTTTTCAAACTTTACTTTAGCTCACCGTCATGCTCTTCATCTTTACACTGAAATAAACACTAAAATACACACAGATTCAAGCTCTCCTCCCACACATCTGTACTCTGACTCGGTCATTGGTTGGACTTTTGACGTCATTCCCACTTGCTGCTCTGTCCGAAGGTCCCCAAGCCAGTCTGGCACAAGCTCTCATATCCAGTAATCCTGTCCTCCAGATCTTGTTCTTAGGAAAAACAGACCGCCAGTGGGTAGGCCTTACATTCCTCCTGTGGCTTTCACTTTCCCTCTCTCTCTCTCTTTTTCCCCTTCTTCTCTCTGCTTCTTCCAAGACATTCCAGATGTGGGCTAACTTGGCTCTTCAGCAGCTATACCTCCGGTTTCAAATGATAACAAAGACCCGTGCGTGTTAGAGTATCCCCACTGGCTTGGTCTGCCACTGCTGTTTCTGGACTGGATTGACTTTATGACAGCTACCGCTGCTCTGGGATCTCAAGCATCCAGGAAATAAAAACTATACTGACAGTGTGGCTTTAAAATGAGCTTGACTGTTTTTTGGAAAAGCTGTTGAGGAAGCAGGGAATCCAGGGGTAAGACCAAGAGGGCTGCCTGGGCTCTAAATTCTCATATTGATAGTCGCTGATTTGTTGACGTGTTAACATGTCTGTTAAATCCAGCTGAAACGATAGATTAGTGTTAATGCTTCAGAGAGTGTAGGAAGAATGTCAAGGGTCCAGTATCCCACTAGTAGAATTCAGCGTCATGTGTTTGCACCTATTTGTAAGATTATGCTGGCTAATATAAAACTTACTAAAAGGAAGTTAAACAATTACCACAAATTTCTCTCTTGGCTGTTATGTCCATGTGTTGGTTATTTTGTTGTCTAGCCTCACACTGATTTCAGGTGTAAGATTACATCACCCACCATCTGGAAATTATTTTTCCAAAGAGAATCAAAGTGATGATCAGTTCTAAAACAAGTCCGGTCATGTTGCTGCCCCTCCTGGCCTTCATCCAGAACTGATCCCTGGATGGTTTTATCACTTCATAATAAAGCGTGTTCCTTAAAAGGCTGACAAAAAGTAACAGAGAGCCAGGCAGATGGAGAAAGTGATTAGGCGAGAATAGGAAAGGGGAGAATTTCCTGTAATCATATTATGAAGGCGACGTTGTCCTCCCCTTCCTGTTTCGTCTTGTGTCTCAGCCGCAGTCCAGGTGACGTGAACAGTGAACACGTTGGATCTTCTCTGTCGTTGCAGACACAGGGACATCACGCTACTCCGTCCATCCCTCAAACTCTCTGTGTGATGTCTGAGGGAGACATTACAGTGCTGCCTTTTGGACCTGGGTCCCTGGACCTGTCCAAGCAGGAAGCCCAGACGCTGACCAGGCTCTACAGTATGAATGGAGGCTATCACCTAAGGATTTTACCAGATGGAACCGTCAATGGTGGGAGGCAAGAAAATGACACATATGGTGAGGAAAAAAACAAAAGAACTGTTTGATTTATGATCGCTGGTTATATTTCAAAATCAGGAGCCAGAGATTACGTGCGAGATATGAAGGGGAGGCTTTTAACTTTAGTTTCAACATTAGGTTAAAAGTCTTCGTGATTGTTATAACGATGGTAAACAAAAGAGAATGGGTAAACTTAAGATGTTTTGATTAAAGGTTATGAGGGTATGAGGAAAAGAGGACATCTTACCACTAAAGGAATAATAATTAGGCTGCTGGTAAAGCTGCTCAGTGATTTGGTTTTGCAATAATAACATCTTAACCTGTGTACACATTTGGACAGCAGGGCCTAGTTTCCCTGAAAAATACTTACTAAACTTTTATTCTGGGATATCACAGTTACATTGTTTTTACATGATTTGATCTTCCAGTTAGCCTTGAAAAGAAAACAAAAAAAAACAAAAAAGCAATAACGCTGTGGTGTTGCGTTGCGTAATGTGTGTTGCAGACATCCTGAGGCTGAAGGCTGTGAGTGCGGGGGTGGTGGTCATCAAAGGTGAGGCGACAGGAAGGTATCTGGCTATGAACAGAAATGGACGCCTCTGTGGAGTAGTGAGTTGTGCTTTTTTATATATATATTGCAGTTTGACTTAAAAATGAATTTTGGATGGAAAGGTTGAACACTTACAGATTGCAACAAATGCTCACTGGTCCCGTTTGTCTTTCTGTGTAACAGTTTCAATTCTTTTTTCATCAAATCACACAATTGTTCATTCATTTCTCAGCGTAAGTTTAAACTCGCTGATTGTTACAGTTTTGTAACAAGTTGTGCAAAACAACCTAGATTGCAAAACAGTGGAAAGTTTCAGTGTAATTAGCAAATTGCTGTGACTAATAATTTGTCACTGGGATGTCTAAAATAAAACAGACAAGCTTTATTTTGGAGGGTTGTTATGTCGATTATTATTTTGGTGATTCAGTATGTTACACTATTCCTTGTTGTATCCTGCTCAGTTACCTTTAACCGTATATTAGAGATATAATCAATCCTTCCCCCCCTTTCATTTTCCTACTTCAGCAAGCTCTGAACGATGAGTGTTACTTCCTGGAGAAATACGAAGAGAACCATCACAACACGTATCGTTCTCAGAAGTACAACTGGTACGTCGCCTTGAAGAGGAACGGCCAGCCCAAAGCCGGACCAGACACCCACCAGGGTCAGAAGGCCGTTTTTTTCCTGCCAAGGCCTGCAGGAAACATGTAAAGCCAGATGTCAGCAGGCACTGTATATTCGCTAAAATGTTTAAATGCACATTATTAGTGTAAAATTACACTTGACAAATGATTATGAGGTCACTGAAAATCTGTTATTTCTGGTAATGGCTGAGGCAAAACTCTTACTGGGCTAAATGTCGCTCTTCATACACAAATTTAACATTTGACTGAACAGTTTATAAATGATCATTGTATGGATATGTGATCATATCCAGCACAGTTTTGTTTGTTTTTTTGTAAGTGCATAGCATATATACTTTATCTCACTGCAGATAGAAAATATATAAAGTGATTCATTTAAACCCTGATTTGAAATACCACAGGGAGGAAAAAATATGCAATTTACATACATAAATGTATTTAGCATTACTAATGTCTGGCACAAAAAATATATATAATTAAAGAATAAAACCAAAAATATGGCATTGAATTCAAAATTTAAGAAAGGAAAGATATTCAAGGTTTACAGTAGTAATCTAAAAATGTCTTATATGGATTGAATTAATAATAATAATTGAATTTCAATCAATAGATATTTAGTCTTCCCAAACAATTCCTCATTTTGTAATGAATATGTCGATCGAGGGAGTCAAGAGAGCAAAGATGATATGGTGTTACTGTGAAGCCAGAATTCTTCCTTTTAAAACAGCAGCTCTTAAATAATTTGTGTTGCTAAGAATTATTATTGTATTAATATATTGTATTTGTGTGACTGTTGGAAGGCTGACAGACCTATAAAAGCAGATGTGAAAACTTTGTCAGAGAAACGAGTGAAGCTTTTATTAAGTGTGTTTATGTACGATGTATAGCAGGTATATAACGTAAGCTTTCTTTTATTTTGTAAAATGCTTCGCAGTTCAAGTAAATTCCCCCCTTTTTAATTTTGATTTAAAATCCTGTTACTGTAACTTTATCCTAGATTATTATGAATATGTATTTATAAAGATTTATTGCTAATTGCTAATTGCTAACATTTTCTAAATAATGTATGCTTACAGTGAAGGAATAAAAAGGTAACTATATCACCTTTTCACAAAGTAATACATATTGTATTCACTCTATTTAAATGTAATGAATAAGCCTGTATTATTATACATGAATGAATAAATACTATTTTTGATTTACTGTATTTATGATAGTTATTACCTCTGCCAAGGAGCAATATGTTATTGGTAGGAGTTTGGTTGTGTGCCTGCCATTCTTTCGTTTTGTCTGTTGTAGCGTGGGTGCGTGTTAACGATCCATTAAAATCTGGCATGCATCCACTAAAGTCTTCACGGTCTTCAAATGATCAAGTTATTGCTCAAAAACTGACAAAAAGCATTTTAACCTAGAAGCTATGATTCTTGCAAATGTGGTGTGTATTGATTGCATGTACTACAATTACACAAATAAAAAATAACAACAAATAATTACACTAAAAATGATGTCAAGTATATAAAAATAGGTTTCAACATGGCAGATACCAAAAGCCTCCACTTTGCACTTGTTTTTACAACACGAGAAACTTCTTGCATTTAAAAAACAAAATCAGTATATACAAAATATAATATTACTATTGAGCTGCCTTGGCGGATGTTTGCGCTCTTGTAGTGCCTTTAGTTTTGTATTTAGTCTGTTTCTGATGTAATCTCTATGACATTATTCCAATGTGAAAACTGGTGTTTTATTGATAAATTACACTGTTAAAGATATTTACTAGAGGCAAAAAAAATACATTTGGCCACAAGATGGAGGCATTGTCTAAGCTTCTATGTATTGTTCTTGGGTTTACACGTCCAAATCCAAGTAAAGACGACTCGTGTATATAACAGGCATACCTAACAATTGATATAGTATATTTTTATATATTAACTGTCTTATAGTATGTCAAACAAATCAATGTAAATTAAACCATCTGAAAAAGCAGAAGGAAAATGATCAAGGAAAGCAATCCCAGGAGTCATTCTACTATCTAACTCATTAACTAAATATAATTACATTTTGAAGGACTGGAATTTTATTTTTCATTTCTACCTAAAATAAGATTATGCCGTTAAAATGTTATTCCACCACCAAAATATCTGAAATAGCTGAACTTCCCCATAGATGCCAAACATCCAGTGTCAATTTCCTGCTGTTGACAGATTTTCATTCTTAGACACAATATGTGTACCGAGTAGTTGCATAACAAAACACTTGCAGCTAACTTTTTGAAAACTGTAAGGAAGCCCCATATGCACTAGTTTTAGTGAAGACTTTCTCCACTCCAGTCGAAACGATTGTAACCACAAAGCTGTGACAGATGCTACCAGCCCCATTCACCCCGATCAAGTATTTTCACCACATTTTTGGAAGCAGTGGCATTCTTCATCTAATCCACACTTAATGTGTAACGGCTGAAACAGAACATGGCCTGAAACGTTGTTTTAGAGTCAACTGTGCCAGGAAAATATCCTGGAGGAAACACTGGAACGTGGTTTAAAATGTTTGGGAGGACTGGAGCTGATTCATGTCTCCAACAAGTCCCATATTATTGTGGGATTTAAACAGAGTTGGCAGGGAACATTACAGTAGGATTATTACTTATCCAAGCACCATGAGTGTGACAAATTACTGTTTCAAGTTGAGCAATAGGTCTGCCCTTTCCTACTGAAATAATCATTTTGTGCATAAGTTAAATTAGAGCTAAATTAAAATACTTGTATTCCGTCTCCCCATACAATTTTTTCAGGAAATCTTAAATTCTCTATTGATCAACTTTTGTCATTGTCAACTATTTACACGCTAAACATTTATATGGGACATAGATAATTCGTTTAGAACAAACAATGCATTATAACATTTAAACTAAACTAAACTAATAGTAATTTAGATATGAAGCTCTCTGTAAAGGGCAATTCTGCATAGCAATTGCCTTTGCTTTCTGTATGAGTTCCTTATGTATAGTCCCTGACTTAAGGAGAATAAATATAAACATGCTTTAAAAAAAATGTTTTCTGCTTTTTAAATTTGTTTTCTGTCACAAAAGTGCTGTGAAGACATTTCATGTGCAGAAGAAGAAAAAAAAATGGTAGACCTCTCTTTCTTAAGGACTCTAAGTGGACACATGGCTGTTGGTGGACAAACACTGCCGATTACACAACTTGTGACCTCTCATTTACAGGACAGTGTCTCTCCTTCATTCCAGCAGGCCACCCTATGAAGCAGCTCAGTACACAAACACCCAGAGACACACACATATACACACAAACCTGGTTGGCCATTGGCCTGCAGGGCTGTGCAGGGCAGGAAGGGAATCATTCACTGTAAACTGAACAAGGACTGGCTTCCTCTGGGAGTCCCCTAGCCTGACAGCAGCCAAGATCCCTGCAACACAAACCACTCTAGCAGACACACACACACACACAGCAATCAGCACGTACACACGCTGGAACTAGGACACATTCTCTCATCTGTTACTCGTCTCTCTTTCCTCAATTCCGTCTTTTTTTTTACTCTCCCTTCCTGCCCTTCTCTCAATTTCCAGCCTACTTTCATCTCCTGCTCCATCCTACTACGTTCCTGCATCAATTTTCTTCAAACAGCTCTTCTTCCTTATTTTGTTTTTGTTTTATCTTCTGTTTTTAATTTTTATGGTTCTTTTTTTTCTTCTCTTTCTTTCTCTCTGTTGCTTCCCCCCTCCTATCAGGGAAGGTTACAAAGTTTGTATAGTAAAGAGAGGATACCTCTGGAAAGTTTGCATTGCATTTTCTTATTAGACAGATGCAGATTTGGTTAAGCAACAATCTTAATAATCAAGCCCTAGAAACGGGGGAGAAACAAATACAGTCTATTGCTTTTTAAAGCAGGCCAAAGAAATAATAATTTATGATATTAAAAAGGGATTGCTCTACATGTTACCTTTCTGCCATGTCACCTTTCTCCTCCACACAAGCAAACATTTACACACCAACAGGAACGGAAGCAGGGGATGCATATCCGTCAGCTGATCCAACTGGAAATGCTGACACTTGTCTCCCCATCTGCTACTGCACTCTGAAACAAAGGGGGAGGAAGGCAGACTAGGGGGACAGAGAAAGCGAGAAGGAGCATTTTGACAACTCAGAGAATCGTCCGGATGCTTGTGGTTTGCCCTATTGCAAATGTTTTCCTAATAAATGATTTGTGCTGGATAGACACATTCTGCTGGGCTGCAAAAATGCATCTTTTACTCAGAGCAGAAGAAAATGGTACGGTTCAACAAATAAACTCGACTACTATATAGCAAAGGGAGTCCTTTCTAGATTGTTTAAAAAAAACAAAGGAAAGAAAGAAATAATCCTGAGAAGATCAAAACCTTTCGTAAGTGCAAACCCCGTCTGCAGACTGTAATATCAACACAAAGAAAGGTTTTATTAGAACACTACTAATAATAATTACTGTCACTGCATAATAAACTAGCGCAACTGCTAACACGCCTTGGTTGTGGAACTTTTCAGGGAAAAGAATAGTGAGTTAAAGCATAATAAATGTCTTTATGAGCTTTACATCTGCTGATGTGTCGATATGCTCCCAAAAAAACTGAACTTCCTATCAAACAAGCTGTTTTCCCACATGAAATATTGTCCTAAACTTTACTATACATAGCCCAGCAGAACAAAACAACCTCCCTACTGCAAAGTCTTTATAAAGCCCAACTGAGCCAATGTCAGGGTATTGCATCCTGTCTATTACTCGCACTCCTATAGCAGCACCCTGACCTAAACTAAGCTAAGTCTTTCCACTAGTAATATCTTGATCGTCCCAACATTATCCAGTGTTGAAAGCTCATGTTTTAAAACAGCTATACGGACATGAGAGTAGTGTAAATCTTTCAATCTAACTTTTGACAAGAAAGCAAATTAGTGTATTTCCCATCCATCCATTTTCTAATTCTTATCTGGGTCGGGGTTGGGGCAGCAGACTAAGCAAAGACACTTGGACTGCCTCCTTTTGTTATTCTGTTGGGACACAGAAGCCTTTTCAAGCCAGCCTGAGAGACGCAATCTTTCCAGAGTTTCCTGCTTCTTTCCAGGATCGTCTACCATTTAGAAATGGACGAAATCACCTCACCTAGAAGGCATCTAAGAGGCATATTACTAAGATTCCCCAACTGCCCCAACTGGCTCCTTTCAATGTGTAGGAGTAGGGGCTGCTGTCACTTTTTTTCCTTTTAATGACCTTTATGAAACATGTGAAACATGATCTCATTACAAAAGGCATTTAAATTACGAGTTGAGGCGACTCACGGATCTGACTATGATGCCTCCTGGACGCCTCCTAGGTGAGGTATTACGGGCATGTCCTACCTGGAGGAGCCCCCGGGGCAGACAGAGGGCTCAATGGAGAGATTGCATTTCTCAGCTGTCTTGGGAACGTCTCGGTGTCCCCCAGGATGAGCTAGAAGAGGTGGGTGAGGGAAGTCTCAGCTTCTCTG